ATGTATATGTATGTATGTATATATATATGTATATGTATGTGTATATATATATGTATGTATATGTATATGTATATATGTATATGTATGTATGTATGTATGTATGTATTGGAATTACGTAATTCCAAACCTGTATGACTTCTTTTCCTCTATGGAACATAAAATCATTTTGTGAAATTTGAGAAATGTTCCACAGAAAAAAGGTTTGGAATGACATGAGGTTGACTGGATTTCATTTTTGATCCCTTTTAATGCAGAGTTGACTGTCACAATAGTAAGTGTACCGTATATTACTTTGGATAAGAAAGCATCTGTGGTATAGTCATATATATATATATATAAATCTCAACAAATTAGAATATGGTGACATGCCAATCAGCTTATATATTTCTGTTTCAAAGATGATGTTCTTTTGAATATTTTTTTCAATAAAGGATCCTAAAAAATGCGTCTCACTTGCCACAGAAATATTTCGCAGCACAACTGTTTTCAACATTGAATAATACGATTCTTTTTTTTGGAGCACCAAATCAGCAGATTGATTTCTGAAGGATCATGTGACACTGAAGACTGGAGTAATGGCTGCTAAAAATTCACATGAATATATTGAAATATATTTAAATAGAAAACATTTATTTTAAATTGTAATAATATTTCACAATACGACTGTATTTTTGATCAAATAAATGTAGCCTTGGTGTAAAAAAAATAAATGAAGGCATTCATGATTTTGTGGCCATAACATTCTTAAATGTATACTAATATAATCACAAACTAAACTGACAAATCAAAAGATTATGCTTTGTCATGATGTGAACAATTAACTAAAAGATGCATTAATTTGTTTAAAAGTGACAGTAAAAGACAATTTTATTAGATTATATATATATATATATATATATATATATATATTTCTGTTTCAAAGATGATGTTCTTTTGAATATTTTTTTCAATAAAGGATCCTAAAAAATGCGTCTCACTTGCCACAGAAATATTTCGCAGCACAACTGTTTTCAACATTGAATAATACGATTAAAAGATGCATTAATTTGTTTAAAAGTGACAGTAAAAGACAATTTTATTAGATTATATATATATATATATATATATATATATATATTTCTGTTTCAAAGATGATGTTCTTTTGAATATTTTTTTCAATAAAGGATCCTAAAAAATGCGTCTCACTTGCCACAGAAATATTTCGCAGCACAACTGTTTTCAACATTGAATAATACGATTCTTTTTTTTGGAGCACCAAATCAGCAGATTGATTTCTGAAGGATCATGTGACACTGAAGACTGGAGTAATGGCTGCTAAAAATTCACATGAATATATTGAAATATATTTAAATAGAAAACATTTATTTTAAATTGTAATAATATTTCACAATACGACTGTATTTTTGATCAAATAAATGTAGCCTTGGTGTAAAAAAAATAAATGAAGGCATTCATGATTTTGTGGCCATAACATTCTTAAATGTATACTAATATAATCACAAACTAAACTGACAAATCAAAAGATTATGCTTTGTCATGATGTGAACAATTAACTATTTATTCTGAATGTATTCAATCATTTATTTCCAGTACATTATGTAAAGGGTGGCATATAGTCTTATCCAAAACAGTTAAGAGACAAAAGTTTTTTTAGGGTATAAGGAAGTGTTGCGTCAATAGGGTTGTTTAGTGCAATAGCAAACGTCATATGCTTCCCACATGTTTAGGCATCTATTTTGTCAGATATTACTTAATCTCTTCCTGATTTTATTTTTGTACGCCAACTGGTGAGAGTTTATTGTTTGAACTTGATGTGACCTAGTTGCTATGAGCTCAATTATAGATATGCGCTGCCCTCTAGAGGAACCCGGAAGAGTTTCATTATAAGGAAGAGAGTAGCTCAAAAACAAACGCCCTCGAGGTTTCTTTTACTAAAAGAAAGCAGTCTTTTGGTTCAATAATGCTCAATTTTGAAAAGCCAAAACAACATGCATTGTTTCCTAATCAAATAATGCATAATTTTAATAAATAGTATTATTACTCACATTATTTATTAACATTCACGGGTCATTTTACAAAAGAAGTAGCATACTACAACCTGAAGAGTTTTCAAAACAAAACGACAATCCAACTATTCTCATTAATTAGTAGAACCAAGTAAATATAAATCAAAATACTCCCAAATATGCATTTTTTTTTATACCAGTAGCAGTGCAAACATCATGCATTGTTACTGTTGCAGAGGTGAGCATGACTGTGTTTTGGTCCTGGAGAGCATCCAGCAGCTGCAACATCAGATTCAGAGATATCCTTTCTGCAATTCACCCTTTTAATGCAGATGTGAATCATTCATATATATGATCTTTTATGCTAGCCATGTCGTGACAGCTATATAATGAGATTGTTATGCTACAGGGATTAAAAAAAATAAATTAAATGTACTAGTTTATAATAGCGTGTAAAAACCTTGGCATGCCTGGCTGGGACAAGGTTAGGGGGTCACAACATACAGACAGGACAGCTAGCAGATCATGAGAAGATAGCTCATACTGAACGCCTGCTAACAACAGAGGATCTGAACTCCATTACACACTCGTCTCTCAGAACAGTTTCCCCCGGGTTGATTTTAGGGTGTGCGAGGAGAACAATTCTGTGCTGTACGGCATGAGAGTTTCTTTAAAGTAGATTTGTGAGGAGTTCGGCTTTCACAAGTTCACATCTAGCTCAGTCCTGTGCTCACTTCTGAAGTTCCTGAGGCGTGCTGAACGTTTCGTACACGTTGGCGGCAAACTCTTTCACCTGGTCTATCAATAAGAGATCCTAAAAACAAGAAAGCGAGCAAACATTGGTGTGTGGGCAGATTTTATACCACATGCAAGTCAAAATGAGTCAATGCATATGAAGGTTCTCACCTGGACAAAGTGACTGGGTATTTCGCTGCATATTGAATGTATCTGTCCGTTGATGATGGGAATGATTTTAGCTAGTGGGAGGCTTACATGTGATAATCTGGAAGAAAAGCATGTGAAAAACAGCAATGATTATCTTTCCATCACCAATACTGTTCACAAACCTGAAATATACTGGCCTTGGGAAGGTGATAAAATGGCTTAACGTGGCTTAATTGGCCAAATACTTTTTGGGGTCACTGTACGTACCTTCCTAAAAATAAATAAATAAATAAATGCATGTACACTGACCGGTCAGGTGTGCTGGAGGGGTTGGAGTCTCCCTGCGGGGGTCGGAAAAACTCTGACATGTTGTCTAGGAATCGGATAAAGCCTCGGCTCAAGCAAGTACGGAGTACAGTAGTGAAGTCTGGACTGAAAAAAAAAAAAAGTTGAGATGTAATTAGTACCCAGCTACCTACGCTTATGTGATCTCTCCAAAATGATTGATTTCAACCAAATTAGTCTCATCCTATTATTTTTTTCATTTTATCATAAATGCTCTTTGAATTCAGAATTGTGTTTTTCATACAATAACTCATATAATAATGGATTTCATTTAAAAAGGAACTAAATGTGTAAAAGGGATAGTTCACCCAAATATGAAAATTCTGTCTGTGGTAACCTATCCCTTTAAGGTGTTAAGTACAAACACTTTAACAGTCCCAACTTTTTATTTCCAATTTTCTAAACTGTAGGTTTATATAGGTGCTTTGATTTCCCTCACCTTTCAAGCATATCTCTGGTTTCATTTAGCAGCTTTATTGTTGTGACATCATTCTCTGTGAGACCACAAGCCTAAAAAAAAATTATATATATAAATAAATAAAATTAGTACATAGAAACCAAAAAATTCAAAAGTAAATTGTGATGTAATATAAATATCATGTATTTTTTTAAATAAAATGTATACAGTTAACAAGCAATAAAATTATAGTAATATATAAAAATTATAGTACTATAATTATAGTAAAAATTAGTAATACAATTCTATTCTTATAAAAGTCTTATCAAACTTTATAAAATGTTATTGTATATTATTTAGTGGAAAATGTGATATTTTTTTCAGGATTCTTTCATGAATAGAAAGTTATTAACCGCATTTATTTGATTACAGATTATAGATAAAAATCTTTTGTAACATTTTAAATGTATTTACTGTCATTTTTGATCAATTTAATGTGTCCTTGCTAAATAAAATAAAATGCTGGTATCATGAATCAAAATATTATGAATAAGTATATGTGTATACCGAGCGGCAATCTCCCGCTCTCTCTCGTGAAGCCAACACTTTAGGCTTCAAAACGCTCGTCGAAAGTCTACGGTTACGTCACGGACACTACGTCCATGTTTTTATACAGTCTATGGTGTATACATATAATTGTAGTTTTAAATAAAAAAAAAATCTCAAATAAATTAATAAATTATATATCTAATTCATAACTAAACAACTAAATAAATGATAAATATCTACCTGTGAGGCTAGTGTGTTCTCTTCATCAGGCATCATGTACCAAGAAAGACTTTTGTGTTTAGAGGAAGCACAGCCCTCCTCCACTAACTGTCTGATCTGAGTTAACTGTTGCTCCAACTCTTGTAGAGACAAACTCTGCTTCAGAGACACCCTGAGGAGACATGGACAGCAGTTAGCTTTCCTGCTAAATATACAGGAAGACCGACACAACACATGAGATGAGTAGATTCAAATTCATTCATCATCTAATCAATCACTCAACGTACGGTCCAAGAACTTCCTGGACAGCTTTCTTCACCACAGTTATCAGTTCAATGAGCCCTGAAAAGACAAAATGAAGATCAGTATCAACTATGGTGGATGTGACCTCATAAACATTAAACTCTAATACATTAGATGCTCTTATACAGATCTGACACTGTCCTCACCTTCTCCAAGTAGGTGTTGGATACTTGACAGATATTGTTGTTGGACATCAGAAGGGGCCAAGGGGGTCTAAAGTAGCAGTATAATAGAAATGAAGTAGAATTTACATACTGTAACATGGTAAAATCAGGTTGCTCTGCCTTCAGAACACCAAGCCCTGACATACCGTTCCATTCTTTGTCACGGAGTTGTCCAGGTACAAGTAGCCACCAATTATGTTGAGCTGAACTCTGAGTAACACCACAAGCATGCAAGTGCTGTAAACTGCCACAATGCTGCGGGTAAAACCTGGAGAGTAGAAATCATTGTTTGAGAACAGGAATAGATGAGAGTTTGATTAAAGTCAGCTTGAATTTCCGTTCAAAAGCCATTTTTACTTCTGTAATGTGACATATTGTGAAACAGGACATTCAACTAAAAATTTCAGGGCGTGAATCAGTTTGATTGTGAAAAGTGGGTGTTCCATTATCCACCAGTATTGAGCCAAAACAATGCCTTAATAACTATTTGGTCATTGCTCAACATTTTCCAATAACCCACATGACATCAGCAGAAAAGAAACATTTATAAAAAAAAGTTTGGGGTTGGTAAGATTTTTTTTTAATGTTTTTTGAAAGAACACAGTATTAAGAGTAATATTAGTGAAATATTATTGCAATTAAAAAAAACTGTTTTCTATATTTAAATATTTTAAAATATAATTTATTGTTGTGATGGAAAAGCTGTATTTTTTAGCAGCCATTCTTCCAGTCTTCAGTCTCACATGATCCTTCAGAAATCATTCTAATATGCTGATTTGGTGCTCAAGAATAATTTCTTATTATCAATGCTGAAAACATTTATGCTGCTTAATATGTTTGTGGAAACTTTGTTTCATTTTTTCAGGATTCTTTGATAAATGGAAAGTTCAAAAGAACAGCATTTATTTGAAATATAAATATTTTGTAATAATGTTTTACTGTAAAAAAGTGTAATGTAATAACGTAAGAGCTTTTACTGTCTGCCTTTACAACCTTGCTGAATAATATTAATTCTTGTATAAAAAAACAAAAATACTGACCCCAAACTTTTGAAATGTAGTTTTTTTTTTTTTTTGAAAAATTAATTCTTGTATAAAAAAACAAAAATACTGACCCCAAACTTTTGAAATGTAGGTTTTTTTTTTTTTTTTTTTTCTCTGAAAAAGCTACATTAAATTGCCATTGCTCTTCCTTATATTTGAACACACCAAAGACTATAAAAGGCAAAGGAAAATTGTGCAGATTGTTACAGATTTCAAACAATTTATTCTTAAGAACAGATTGAAAGCACACAATAGCACTAGGAATCTGCATTAAGAAAGTAAACAGGGTCAATTTCAATTTCATGTTGACTTTAAAGCAATAAATATGTAATCCTACAACAAATAAACTTATTCAACTCACTAATAATCTTTAGATCCTCCCAGATTTCAAGTTTATTAGCTGGCCTGTGTAGGAAGACATGATCACTTGCGTCAGTTCTGGTCTTTTATTTTGTAATGCAGATAATCATCTATAATTTACATGAATGACTCACTTAGTTTTCAGCAAAGCAGTGATGCTCTCTGAGTTCAGGTGATGTATGATTGCCTCTCGGAGAGTGGGGAGCATTGATAACACTACAAAAAAGACACAATTACATATACTGGGCAGAACAAATATCACTTTTTCATAACATTTATTAACTGATCATGTCATTCTGTTTTATTGTTTTACCTGTCATGTTACATGTCCTCTGGTTGCTTTCAAAATGAAACTGTCTCCGAGCTTGAGTGATGTATTCGGCTGCCTCTCGCTCCTGCATCTCCTGAATTTTTCTTTGTGCATATTTACCAAGTAGATAGACACCTGGGCATGAAGTTTGAGAATACATTACAATATAATGTACATGTTAAGAAACTGACATGCAATATGCCAGATATATTATTCAGTGATATAAAAACTGCATTCTGAGTAAAAAATACCAGTGTAAAGTCCATATCAACTTTCTTTGACTGTGCCAATAGAAAAACTAGGTGACAGGTGAACTGAGATTGATTAGTTGGATGTGGAAATAAGATCTAATGCTTGGCAACACTGTAATAACACGCTAAACTATATATTATGCATATTATAACTACATGTATTAATATTCAGCTATTAAAACAAGAAATAATTAATGCACAGTCACACGGAGCTAACATCTCTGAACTATATAAGCATGCAGGTGGTCTAGTTGCCCACGTTACCTCCAACAAAAACCCCAGCGAAGATGAATTTCCTCTTATGGCGTTTGATGAAATTCCATGTAGAACTCAACATTTTAAAAATAGAGTTCACACCGCAAAAGCGTGTTTAGACGTAACTCACTAGCTAGCACAATGCTACATGGCAATAACTTCTCGTGTTAGCATCACACAGGCGAACTACAGATAACAGATTGCGTCGATCGATCGATTATGCGGTCGACCCGCCGCCCTGAACGGTGCATCCATTATTACGGTCCTCCGTAAACACGTGTGCATAACCGCCATAAAACTAAGAAGAAGAAGAAGAAGATATATATATATATATATGGATGGTTTGCCATCCGCCATAAAACGTTATTAGAAGAAGAAGAAGAAGAAGAAGAACGTCACAGTAAGAATAACATATTTCCTAGAGAGTAAAGATCTCTTGTCTCCTTATCAGAGTGGATTCCGTAGGGGTCGGAATACAATGGACTCTGTATTATGTCTAGAGTCAGACATCAGAAAAGCACAGACAAACAAAGAAGTAGTAGTAGCTGTCTTCTTTGATGTGGAAAAGGCACATGATATGCTCTGGAAAGAAGGATTATTAATAAAATTAAAGTCTTTGGGAATTGGTGGTAGAATATATAATTGGGTTCAGGACTTTTTATTTGATAGAAAAATACAAGTGAAAGTAGGTGAAGAATACTCCAGGGTGTATACAGTGGAGAATGGAACACCACAAGGTAGTGTATGTAGTCCGTTATTATTCAATATAATGATTAATGACATTTTCTCTCAAGTTGAACATAACATTGGAAAATCTTTATATGCAGATGATGGGGCTTTGTGGATTAGAGGTCGCAATATATCATATATTAATAAAAAAATGCAAGATGCAATAGTTGATGTTGAAAAGTGGGCTAATAAATGGGGATTTAAATTATCTGTATCAAAAACACAGGTCATTTGTTTTTCAAGGCGGCATAAAATCACACCCCTTTCTTTAAAATTGTATGGGGATCCTCTGGAGCAAGTAAAATCCTTAAGGTTTACTAGGGGAAAAGGCTATATATGATTACATCATTAAGTTTATTAAAGAAACGAAGTTAAGTAAAATAATTTTAAAAAAGTTTTTTTTATTTTTATTTTATTTTATTTTATTATTTTTTATTATTAAAATCAGTTTATTTATTTTTTGTATTTTTATTATTATTATTATTATTTTAGTTATTTATTTTATTATTAATAATATGATTAATGTTTTTTTTTTCTTTTTTCTTTCGCTTCTCGCATTATGTCAATCCCATAAGCACGTATTCTGTTCCACACTCCAGTCCAGTCGGTGGCGGTAATGCACCTACAAGTTGGTTTGCCAACCGCCAATAAAAGAAGAAGAAGAAGAAGAAGAAGAAGAAGAACGTGTGCATAAGCAAAACGTTACTATTTCCTGATTTGTGTTGCCATATTTTTACGGTTGAGGATACTGATGGAGATGCAAGCAGACAGCGTTGAACCAGAGAAAAGTGATTTTCTGCAGCCGTTAGATAGTGAGATACAAACATGGATGTCAAAGGCGTTTGACATGGTAAAACTTCCATGATGTTTACTGTTTGTTCACAGTATTTACCATGGTAACTGGCATTTCCCCTCAAATACCGTAGTTACTAAAGTAACGTTACTGCATTATTTTGAAACGAGTATGTATGTATGTATGTATTTATGATTATTAATATCTCATTTCTTGTGAAGATTTTCCACAGTTTTTGTAATAACTAGTTTCTATGATATTTTGGTTGTCATGGTAAATGTGTATGGTGTGTGTGCCTGCCTACATGGTAAATGTATTTTTGGTTGTTTTGAGAAAATTATAAACATTAATTACTTTAAAGGCACTTGAGGCCCTTGAGAATGGTGAGGTTCCAGTCGGCTGTCTGATGGTTTACAACAATGAGATTATTGGAAAAGGAAGAAATGAGGTGAATGAAACAAAAAATGTAAGTAACTTCACAATGTGCCTAATTATGATAATTAAATTAATCATAATTTATAATGATTGTTTTATATGGATATTGGAATTGTGTAAGCCAACAATAATCATTATATTAATGTAACTGATGATAATCCTAGGTTCCAGTATATATATTCAAATGATAATTGATCAGTTACTTAACAATAATAAGTTATTCAGAAATGCATAGAAGATGTGGTTCACAGACCGTGATGGGAATACACCTCTTCTATGATGGACATTCAGTTTCTGAATTTAAATGAATATTGATATTTTTGTGAGTCTGAATGTGTAAATGGTGTAACTGTTTAGAGATTGTCAAAAATAAGTCTCATTCCAAGGCTTATTTTCTTGCAAATGATTCATGATCAAATCATTATTAAGATGTGTACACTCAAGGTGAGAGAAAAATTTGCTTAAAGGCAGAGTAAGTGATTTCTGGTAGCCAATGTTGATATTTGAAAACACCAAAACAAACACGGCCCTACCCCAAAAGGGTCTTGCCCCTATTTTGATAGCTCCGCCCCACATATATGTACGCAACCCAGGCAACGATTAGTTCTGTGAAACAAAGCAAAACCAATGTTACACCGTGTCTTCGGACGTGAGCGGCGCGGCGCAACAAATCCCGACAGAAAACTGCTGCCGGGTTCTATTTATGACGTGCTGACACAAATTTCAAATGGTTTTCAATGGTCGTTTGATCGCGTCCAGTGTAGGCAGACTTTAGTTGTTGTAGACACGGTGTTACTCACCTATTGAGAAGAAACAAAGCAACCTCGGCGTCCGATCGCAGGCCTCCGCTCCTTGAGTTCTCTCCAGCACTGGAAAGCTGATCCAATATTTTACACGGGTCCTACTTCTTGCCTTATCTTTCCGCAGACGTTTTCCTCTTTTGTTTTTTATCCGCCATCTCTTATCTTTCTGTCGCTCCGCTCGGCTAGTGTCCGTCCCATGCACTGAAAGCTCTCTCCTCCACATCACGAGTAGACACGCCCCTTATTGCTGATTGGCTACAAGTTTGTTTTGCTATTCGGCCCGAATCAGTTTTCTAAAGTGTTTTTGAAAAAATCACATACCCTGCCTTTAAATGTTAAAATTCTAGGAACTTAGTACTGGTGATGCATTATGTACTTATTTGTAATTAGATGAAACAACCTCACGTCTGTGCCTGCTTTGCCCAAGGCTACTCGGCATGCGGAAATGGTGGCCCTGGATCAAGTGCTTGATTGGTGCCGTTTCAGAGAGAAGGACCCAAAGGAGGTGTGTGAACAGACTGTACTTTATGTGACAGTGGAGCCATGTATCATGTGTGCAGCTGCTCTGCGCCTGCTTCGTATCCTTGATGCCAAAATGTGGTCGACTATTAGTTTAGAAAAGTTTACACATACAGTACCATGAATGGTTTTGAAAGAAGCCTCTTATGTCCACAAAGGCTGAATTTATTTGATCAAATATACAGTAAAACAGTAATATTGGGAAATATTATTACAATTTACAATAACTTTTTTTTTTTTTTTAGTATATTTAGTATATTTAATTTTTACCATTTCAAATAGAATTTTACCATTGGATTTCACAATTTATGGTTAGGGTTGATTTTTAGCAGCCATTACTGCAGTCTTCAGTGTCACATAATCCTTTAGAAATCCTTCTAATATGCTGATTTGGTGATCAAGAAACATTTATTATTATTATTATCAGTGTTAATGTGCTGCCTAATATTTCTGTGGAAAATATTGTTTGAAAAGAATAAAAAGTTAAAAACAGCATTTATTCTAAACTAAAATATTTTCTTTCATTTATATAGTCTTTACTGTCGCTTTTGAGCAATTTGATGCATCCTTGATGAATAAAAGTATTAATATTTTCTTAATACTTGACATCAAACATTTGAACAGTAGTGTAGATCTTTGTGTCACTCACAGCTCTTCCTAGTCAAGTTTTTCTTGCGACTAGTACATTTTTAATGCATTATTGCATTTACCCCAGGTTTCTATTGTCTAGCAGTATTAAAATAATGTCAGCGCTAAAAGGACACCTTGACATTTAGAAAGACATACCTCTTGTTGTATATGGGTGCAAAAATGAGCGGTTTGGAGGCTGTGGATCTGTCCTGGACGTCTCATCGGATCATATACCACACACTGGAACTTCATTTAAGGTAAAAGAATTTCCCTCCAATTCCTATCCAGTTAATTTAAATTCCAGATGATCCAAAAGGAAGCCAGTTCCTTACATTCGGAACCGTTCTGTGTGGCTAGAATATTTTTCTTGTAGAAACGTCCACATTCCTTAAATTGTAGACTCCAGACCACATTGCATATTTTTGCTGTAGCACATGCTTACTTGCTTATTACAGTGCATCGCCGGCTATAGAGCAGAAGAGGCTGTTGAAATGCTCAAGACATTTTATAAACAGGAAAACCCAAATGGTAAGGGAAATCTGTTTAATGTATGCATATTAATGTCTTCATTGTCCTGTTTCTGAAACGGATGTTTTTCTCCCACATTTATTTAGCTCCCAAACCTAAAGTGAGGAAAGATTTGATCAGTCCACCAGATGGCGCTGTAGTCATTCAGGTAAAACGAGGACCGCAAGATGAGGAGAGCGAAACAATTGCTCCTTTGAGCTGAAATGGAAAATATTTAGACATTGAGGCTTTTACAAGACCTTGTCAGTGCCTGGATCTCAGTGACTTTTGATTTTGCCATCTTTTTGAGGTCATTGATTTGATCTACTATTTGAGGAAGCACATTGGCTCATTATCTGGACCACATAGCTGGTAAACCTCCAGGCCTCCTCCTCTCTGTGGCTGGACGCTGAGAGTTGTCTGTTAACAGTGTGTAGAAGCAATAGACTGGGCCTGTTCTGCATTAAAGCACAGGTTCTTCTCCAGCTCTTGCTCTCTTTGTGTCCTTATACAACCCAGAGAACTGGTTCTGAACTCTCAATGATCTCAGTCTTGGGCTCACTAGCAGATGCAGGACAGACCCAGGTGGAGTTTCCACTTACTTCATAGCCAGAAACTTTAAAGGGATAGTTAAAAAATAATTTCTGTCAGTACTTTCTCACACTACTTTTTTTTTCTTCAATGTAGCACAAAAAGGGAATTTTATGAAGAAGTTTTTAAAGAATATATACCCATTTTTTAATAGAATTAAAGTAATTGAAGATGGAGGCTGTCAAGCTCTATAATAGCAAAAAATAAAAGGCCATAAAAGTATCATAAAACAGTATAAAAGTAGTCTTGATGCTTTGTGTATACCTTCGTTTTGAGTTTCCTGGAAGATGGAAAGTCACACAGGTTTGGTACAACATGAGGGTAAAGAAATAATCACAATCATTTTTAGGTGAAGTTTTCAAAGTCATTTCCTTAGGTTTGCCTGTTTATTTATTTATTTTTTGCAATATCTCACACATACTAACTTGGAAAAAATTAAATATTTTTTGTTGCCTCCATATAAGTGTTAATTTAGTATTATTTGTGCTGTTATAGTTATTATTGATATTTTGAATCAGAATTACATTATATTTTCAATTTTCATTTTAACTTCAGTTTCATTTTCAGTAATTTTATGTGCTTTTTTTTTTTTTTTTTAATACCATTTAGTTGTTAATTTCTTATTATTTCCAGTCAGCAATTTGAACTTATTTTGGTTGGTGGCCAAGGCAGCATTTCTCATTTTGATTTAGTTTAGTCTTAACATCTAATATTTATAATTTATTTATTTTAGTGCTGTCAAAGATTAATCACATCCAAAATAAGTTTTGGTTTACATAATATATGTGTATAATATGTTATATTATAATATATAATGTAAAATTTACATAATATACTGTGTATATTTTTTATGTATATATAAATACACACACATACAGTATATATTTTGAAAAA